GGGTTATAACTCGCCCAATCGTGTTGAGCCCAACAATTCTCAAATTTCTCGAAATAGGCGCTCTTGTATTTCGATCCATCTTCATCGCCCCAGAAAAAGACTGGCATTGATGGAAATGGTTTGCGACAGACAAACTCGCCATGTCTTCCAGTGTTCTTGATAGAAGCTCCCGTGAGAGGATGGGCAATGTCCAAGTCGTGCCCAAGCATAGGAAGCTGGATCTCCCCAGGATACAGTGGACCTGCAGGGTCAGTCCCAATCCAAGAAGTCGCCAAGTCCGTGGCGCCTGTTACACTGGTGAGATGAACCCTGGAAGGGAATGTGCGGTAGAACCAGTGGTATTGGTCTTCACCCAGATGAGAGCCACCTGTCTGCACCATTCTGAGGGACGATAGATCGAATTCGTTCTTTGGGATACAACCGGTCATCTCGAGCTCCTGTAGATAGCGAGGGGAGCAGCCCCAGTATGAGACCTTATGGTACTCCGCAATCTTTGCCAATCCTTTGGCACTGGGCCATAACGGAGATCCGTCGTACAGAATCAGAGTCGGACCTACGGAGAGGTGACCGACCATGACATTCCACAAGACCCATGAGGTACTACTATACTGGAAAACAACATCCTCGGATGTCAAAGAGTTGTGCAGTACGGATGTCTTCTTGTGCTGCAAAATAACGCCATGGCTGTGCACCAGGCACTTTGGCTGACCGGTGGTGCCGCTGGTGTATAGGATATAGAGTGGATGAGAGAAGGACACTCTTTTGAACCCTAGCCTGTCCTCTCGCCGTGACATTGACAAGAAGCGATCGAGATTGGGGAATACCGACTCATGGGCGCCGGTGATAGGAATCAAAAACACCTGTGGCTTTGAGTGCAATGCCTTCACGATGCTTTTGATCTTGACGACGTTCGATCGCATTTTCCCCTTATATGTGGATTCGGCATCTGCGAAGAGAACCCGTGGAGTGACTTGTTGTAACCGTGACACACAGCCCTAGTAATTCTAATCAGTCTCCGATGTCGACAGCAATCCCATTCCTGCGAGACATACCTCTTCACCCAAATCCGGTGCAATACTAGTCCAAATCGCGCCGATACTCGCAGTCGCCAGGAACAAACCGACCGACCAGACGCTATTCGAGATGACAGCAGCAACCCTATCTTGTTCTTTAACACCGAGCTGGAGCAAAGCACTCCTTGCCTTTCTGACATTCTCCCTCAACACTCCCCATGTCCACACCTCCCCACTCAGATCATGGCCCTCTCGAACTCCAACAAGAGCCGTCTTGTCCAAGTCCCGACCAAACACAACATTCTCCGCATAGTTGACAGTTGCTCCGTGGAAGAATTTGGGTACCTTGTCCATTGGCGTGGTAGGATCAAATGCGGATGTTACTGTCGGAGGCAATGGTGGAATAATTCCCGTATAGCCATGGAGGTCTGTCCAGAAATCTTGCAGATTCTCAACGGACCATTGATGCAGATCATGAGAAGAGCGAAGCTGCTGATTGAACTTCTTGTTGATATGCGCACGATAGATATTCATGGGTATTTGGTCTTGGGGGATGGTAGGTTCCCAGATGGGACGAGGCCTGAGAGCGTCGCTCGACTCGCTCTTCGTAAGGCTTGCCATTTCTTGTTTGCTTCTGTGGTGGTGTCAATTGTCGATTGTTGATTTTGAAGACGTAGAATTGGAATTGATTATAAAGTGATTTATAGTAGCAGATAATCTCGATAATCACACCAATAGCCCGTCGGCACCCGGCTTTTGAACCCCCGCATGAAATGTCTCGTTCGGGTAAATCTGACGCATTCCTAGAGACATCCATGACACTATAGCTTCTTTCGGTGATTGTCGGTTGAAATCGGTCGAAGTCGGTTATGTCGGCGATGCATGGTGCATCTCATAGGGTTGATGCTGCTGCTCGGCTGATGTAACCTAACCCCCGCACGAAGCTGAAGGAATATAGGACTAAGTGGAAGCTTCATTTAGTAGAGTAATTGCCTTCATTATTTTTCAACTTGCCTGGCCAATATGAGCTGGCTTGAAAACCAGGTATTCTCGTGCTTGTGTGCTTCTATTTGTAGCACGTCTTTTTCCCCCATCCGTCATTATTCACCAAAGATAAAGAATGAAAACTACTAGTCTTCAGGCAAAGTGTTAGTTGCATGTTCACATATGTACAATGATCCAAGATCAGCTAGAAATCCAAACGTCAAAAATGCCAGCTAAGATTGCGTGCTATATATGGCATCAACCTTCATGATTCAAAGCTTCGAGCTTGCCTTTTGCAAGGATCGATGACCAGAGGCACGGTTCGCCGGCAGGTCGACTCCCCAGGCAATACGACAGTCCCATTGCAGATGTTCCTCCCCTTCAGAGATAGTGCTAGCAGTGCCCCCAACTATAACAATATCGTGGAACACCTGCTCTCCCACGCCACCCTCAGCACTCAAGATCCACCGTCGAGCGATCTCTGTCGTCACAGGGTCATTATCACGTTCAGCATCAAGCGCCAGAAGAGCACCAGATAGAATCCAAGCCAGAGTGAACATAAAGCGACGGCCATCAGCAACAGTTGAGGCGGGGTCCTGAGCCGTAAAACGAGCACGCAAAGCTGACCACGCAGCTGTCAGGGCATTCCGCAGATCTGCGCTCTGAATCAGGGTCAAGGTACGGCTAAGCCATGTTCCAAATATCTTCAGGTTGTCTTTCTTGATAAGAAAGCGGACAAACTCGCTAGCTAGCACGTTCGTGGTACCCTCCCAGATAGAATTGACTGCGTTATTGCGCATAATCCGAGAGATGTTGAACTCGGGCTCGTCAGCCTCGTCCATATAGCCGACTCCACCCATAGATTCCTGACATTCTTGAATTCCCGTAGTGGCCATCTTACTGATAACGGCCTTAGCAGTGGCAGTCAAGGTACGGAAAACCACCTCTGCTTCCTTGCCAGGTTGAGGGAGATGCGCGAGCTTATTAGACGACGGTTTTTGATTTTCAACAATTCCAAACAAAGCGACCGTGAACCACGCAAGGTTCATTGCACCCCGATGCTTTACTTCCAAGTCCGCCAAGAGTCGTAAATGCATTGGGATCAGCCAGAGCGGTTCGCCGACAGTAGTTCTCGCTTTCGCAAAGCTCTTCGTGATGCTTATAGCTCGGCGCCAACCAGCAAGCGAACCGACGAAGGTATGAAGCCGGGTGACATTGAGAAGAGGCGCGATCGTTACGATCCCCTGGTCTAGCTCCCCAAGAAGATGTGCACGCATATCCCTTAGTTCCAATTCGGCGGTCGGCAATTCTTTAGTACCGAGTTTGTTCTTTAGCCGGTGGATCTTGACGCCATTAGATACAACTTTAGAGATACCGTTTGCATCTACCACGGTCCGTCGCAATGGCGCGAGGAACGTGCTTAACTTTCCAGATGGAGTCTTCGCGAGCAAAAGAGCAAGGTTGGCATCCGTTGCCGAAGAGAAGAACTTGAATCCGCTAATGAGGTAGTCGCCATCACCAAGGAGGTCGGAGCTGGGGGAGCCGGAGGGAGTAGCTAGCGGCGAGTAGGTAGCCCATGTTTCGGTGTTTTGGACGTCGCTGCCGCCGGCTCTCTCAGTCATCCACTGGCCAGAAGTCCAGTGATCATCCTTTTCGGAGATCAGCCCCTGGAACGCAGCATGGAAAGGATGCGTAAATGGCAGCTTGTCAATTTTCGACGAGAGAATAAAAGCAGCACCATCGGTCATGCTAATCGGACAGGAGTAGAGTCCAGAAGAAGGAGAGTACAAATAGGTACTGGAATCATGGCATTAGCGATAGCATAGAAAGATCGACAAGGAAATACTCACAGCGCATACTGAACTGTTCGCCGATCGACCCCTAAGCCCTTATCATAGCCCGCCGAGACGATCCTAATCGGATCAAGTTAGATCATGCATGTCATATCAACGATTTATAGATCACACCTATTCCGAGCACCCCATTTGCCCAGTTGCTTCCAGCCTTCCGTGGTTACCAATCGATCATAATCATATCGCTTACCCCAGACATTATGGCTCTTCACATATGGCACATTGCGCTCAGCATCGGCGCTCCATCCGCGAACCTGTTCTGAAATAGCCTCGGCACCGAACTGAGTGAGATGCGGTTGTACAGATTGAAATACAGCGGATGGTAGGTACCCTGGATCATGTTTAGAAATTATTGTTAAAATTACAATTACATATGAATGAAAAACTCACATGCTATTGTCCGTTGAAGGCTGGGATCCGACGTGTAGGTATTCTCCAATGGGCCGGGGTCGGTGATGTAGCCGCTATCTGCTGTCGCGGGCTGCGAGGAGGACATAGTGTGATTCTTAAAAGTGAATACGATGTGGAAAAGACAGATAGAATGTGCAGAGTGAGTTTGATAAAGCAGTTGAAAATGCGGGGAAGATGAACCTCGGCTACGCAGTCCTATAGATGTGATACCTTGATACCTGATTTAGGCCTAGAAATCTGAATTGAGATCGGTAGAAGAATCAAAATACCTGGATTACTATTGCAAGAATAGCCTCGCCTAATACAATCTAGTTAGTCTTCTTAGTAGCCTTTTTGGATGTCTTTCTAGTTGTCTTTTATAAGATATCTTCTCCCTATTCTCAAGGAGACGGCCCAAACCAGGCATTAATGCATCAGTATTTGCTAAAAATGGAGGTTTGGCCCCCTGGGGTATAGGACTGCGTAAACCTCGGCTGTCGGTTGTCTAATGAAAGTGAAAGTACTAAATCTGCCCGCAAAAGCGCCGTATCACGATTCACCTTATACCCTGAAACATGATATTGTCTATATTTACCGTTTCTACTAGAAGTCTATATAGTCATGGACTAGTGGTAACCCAGAACCTGGGAGACAATTGTTAAAATAATGACAGCTACCTATACCATTTTTGAGGATGTCAGCGCGCCATGGGAGAATCTGATTTTTGGTTTAGTGTTGCTTTGCAAAGAGCTGAAAGCCCTCACATCTCGTGCATCGTGTTGTATCCCGTCTCAACCAAGCTACGCGGTCCTCGGGCATCGGAGCAGACATGCCAGTAAAACAGGCCACCCAGTTTCGACGAGGTCACAAATTCCGCCTTCTGTTTTACTGTTTCTGGGGTATCGTATGTGACGAAACCGCCATCAGCTCCAACACAGAATGACGCACCGATGTTCCTATCATAATACTCCTGTGTCCCCGGTCGGGGCAGGTCGCGATAGTCAAAAACACCATCCTCACCACCGTGTCCAGTATACCGCTGACCAGGACCGTTGCTACCCAAGAAGGATCGTCCGTAAACTGGGACACCCAAAATGATCTTTCTAGGGGGCACTCCTTGCCCTATAACGTAAGAAACCGCCGAATCACCAGATATGCCTGAGCCATAAAGCTGCGCCTGATGGCCCGTCTCGGATTCCCATGGTCCAGCGAAATCGTACGCCATGAGGTTGATCATGTCAAGATGTTTTTGTGCGGCAGCAAGGTCAATGTTTCGCAATGCCCACTGGCCAGCAGGGAGGGCGGTGGTAAGGACGTAACGCGGAGCGGGTAGCACTTCCCGTAGACGTGCGAGGAGACGAACATAATCCTTTCCTTGCTTGGAATCAGAGGGGTGCTCCCAGTCGACTGCATAGCAGATGAAGTTAGTCATGTGCATCCGACTTGTCTCAGAATCAAAAAGATACGCGGCCTTACTGTCAATTCCATCAATTCCAAATTGATCCACCAGTTCCCGCGCGGTGCGAACGAAAGTGTCCACCCGAGAATGGCTGCTGGCTACAGCGGCGAAGTTCTCACTGCCTTTTCCGCCACCACCAACAGAGAGGATGACCCTCATCTTAGAGTACTGTTGCTTCAATTGGACGAAAGCTCTAAGACAACCTTCTGCGCCGTCAACGGGCATCTGGGTATCAGCCCACTCATCGCTCAGCTATGACGCAGCGTCAGTAAATATTCCCACATTAGAGGAGGTGCGTGTTTAAAACTTAGAACTTACATAGACAGTTCCGTCATCTTTCACCCTGCAAGAAACCAATTTGAGATTAGCGCGTCAGCCATCTGCTCGAACCCGGACTCTTGAATGGCGGTGATTGGCTGTGTTTACCAGGCAAATGCGTAGAACACATGTGAGATAAATCCCAAGCGCAAAGATGAAGGAGGTTCCTTTCGATAGATTCTCCAATTCGGATAGTACGCTGCATTTGTGTACAGTGGCACTTCGTATGAGACGTGGGACTCGGCAGCGGGGTCACGATCCGCGCCCCGTCGGCGGAAGAGCCTGGAAGCTGAGAACATTTTCAAGACGTCGAGGTGAGAAGTGTGAGAGCTCGCGCATTGGCGGGAACCACACAAAGCAGTGAAGCTGAATGGAATTCCAAAAAAGGCCAACGAAAAAGAAAAGAAGAGAAAGAATTGAATTGCAAGTTGAAAAGGGCCCCAGAACAATGCTGTGTGTTTCCCTTTTGGGAATACGTCACGTGGAACCTCGCCTCGTTCCTTTTCTTACTCTCTCCATTGCACTTGCACTAATTAGGTGAAGTGTATAATCAGGCAGTTTGCAGATGCAAATCTCAGGTAACCCGACTAGGCTCCATATAGATGGCCGAATCAGCAATTGGACACAGGAAGATGTGGAGACTGCGGGCTAAGCATATGCGTAGCATTTTCCAAACAGAAGTACGTTGTCAACTTGTACGCAATGGATGCCTGCATGGTCAGATGCGGGGTTGCTGTCTCGGAGTTCAGTCATGAATTGTCCTAGATCCAAGACACATGGGGGAGGATTGTGTCCGGTCATGTCCGTATAACCTGCGGTCCGATCTAACCAGCGGACGCAAGAAAATCCTGTCAAAGAGATTTACATACTAAGGTACAAGCGTGGATCGCCTGCATGAGGCAATGCACCCCACCCCGTGTTCGAGAGTTTTTGCAATGACGGCAGATCGTCATGAACAATATATTATTGTGGACGATCATGACTCGTGAAAATACGAATTTAGCTTGTGTTGGGTACCCCGGTGAAAGGGTTTTTGTTGCGAAGCCAATGACCAGAATAAGGAGATGGGGCGATGTAGGTTTGGCCTTTTGCTAATTTTTGCTTATCGATTTGATAATCACAGCGTTTACAGGGGTACAGAGGTATCGGATTCGCTGAGATAGTCTGAAGGATGAGGCTAGGGCATGGGCAGGGATGCATGTGGCCCCGGCTTTATACTTCCCCGCGGTGATCGAGGCTGGAATGCTTCCGTTTCACCAGGGACATTGCACGAGAAAACCTCAAATCATCTTGAAGTATATACAAGATTATTACGAGAAAGATAACAAAAATTAATATTTTCCAATGGCCGAATGCGCTCATTGCAATGAAGATGATCAACAAGCTCATAGAAAATCCAGAATAGGCAACCTGGTGATTCACTTGGCAATTTGTTCTTTTTCAACAGCCGCGATAGTCTCGGGACTATTTAATACTAGGAAGGCAATTTAAGGGAGCCATGTGAGATTAACTTGCTGAAACTGATTTTAGATGAATCCTAAACGGATATATGTAATCAACTTTACATATCTCGGATACGTTGAATATTATAATGTCCCAAATAAACCTCGGAGAATAGTGATACCAAAGATTGTCGGTCTGCTAGCCGGGAAGACGACAGACTCTGAGATTGTATGCATTGTACACAGATACTACATATCCAGATTCTGGGTAAGACAATAAAAATAGTTCGAAATATCAGTTGCAGCCTCACTGTCAAATAAATTGGATTGGATAGTTTTCAATCTTCACTCTGTTTCTATCGCCCTTGTCCCCCCTTTAGTGTATTGCCGTATATATTCAAAAGACAAACAGCACGAGACTCGAGGGTATTGATGTACTGATCATAATCCTTTTCCAATAAGTATGATTTCGATGTTGAATTTCGGATGTCGAGATGCAAACGAGCCAAACACCGTGTCGCCACCTGATTTTTCAGGCGATAACTGGAGAACAACCTAGACAGCTCTGCAACCTTCAACAACTAAGACTTCTTCCTCAAATTCTCCTTCTCCATGCCAATTTGAGCGAGATATCCCGAGGATCTGTGATTTATACTCTCCCTGCAAACGTTCAATTTCATCTACACGGGTGGGCATAGTCAATCGAATACACGCACCTGACTCGCGAGTCGCGACTACCACTGATCATCTCTTCACTCTCAACACTTCCCTCGATCTTCATCGAGCCATGGCTGCCGAAACTGAAAGCGCAGCTGCGCAAATCCTATCCGCCGAGCCGACGCGCGATCCCAGCTACAATGACTTTTCTTTCACACCCTTTCTGCGCAAGAGCTTCGGCTTCGGACTCGCCAGCGATGTACCTGTTTGCAAAGCCTATAGTGAAGGACACTGTCCATTAGGACCTGCCTGTCCAGATCGGCATCCCACTCCGTCCCGTGTGACAACCTCGACTACCACAGCCTCCGGAATGGCGCCATCTACAACACACGGATCGCTGGTTTGCAAACATTTCCTCAAGGGACTATGTAAGAAAGGACTGAAATGCGAATACCTCCACGAATATAACCTCCGACGAATGCCAGAATGCCAGTCATTTTCTCGATCTGGATACTGTACCAATGGCGACGATTGCCTTTATCAGCATGTTCGAGAGGAGGCACGGCTGCCGCCTTGCGAACACTACGACCGCGGATATTGCGAATTGGGACCATTATGTGCAAAACGACACGTCCGCCGACGTCTATGTACATTCTATCTGGCCGGGTTCTGCCCTGATGGGAAAGCGTGTGCCGATGCCCACCCTCGCTGGCCGGAAAATCTACCACGGCCTACAATGCGTACTGAAAAGACAGAGGAAGAACTTGAGCACGAACGAGTTCTCATCCGTGAAGAACAAGAACGGGAAAAAGAACGGGAACGAGAATGGCGAAATGAACGTGGTCGGGGCGGTGGATTTGGGCGTGGCCGCTTCCGCGGGCGTGGAAGAGGTTAGGTGGATTTTTATCGCAAGGGGGTTTTTTTGGTGACATTGCATGGCATGGAGTGAGGTGTGGCTTCGGCAAGGGGTCTACGGACTGCTTGGGTTTATTTTCATTTATGAGTTCTTGCGCCAGTCCCGCGATACCCTTTTGAATAATCTGACGCAAAAATATTCGCGAGAAATTCATTCTTTTCACTTGAGCTCAATGGCATAATTGGTGTGAACATTCCACACTACTGGTTTTGCAGCAATGATAGACCCGTAGTGTCGTGAACCCAAATTCCTTGTGGTGGTAATATTTAGCCATCGGACCCAAGTACGTCTCGGTACGCCAATGCAGCTTGTCCCATTTGATTTGAATATGGAGTTAAAACATAGAAGCGATTAGTTACATGACATCATGACAGGCACTGTCTAGACAGACCGAACTATTAGTTAGTGTCAAGAATGGGATATGGCCCCTCTAGGCCCTAAACAAGAACCTTGGTTTTTGTTATGGTCTAGTGGTAAATTACGCTGTACGAAATTCAACAGTTAGTCTTAATAATTCCGTTGACTAAAACAACCCCCCTCTGCGGTAGAATCTGCACACTTGCGGAGTATCATTTTTACTAATAGATTCGTAACTCTACTACGCATAGTTATACACCCTCGGCACGTAAATCTTCATTTGTCAGTTCTCAGTAAGAATCACTAAGGCCAGAGCTATATCCGAGTGGAACCTGATCAGCCAATCATGTTCCATTTTGCTCTGTCATCGATGACTGATAACTTGCTGCAAAGCTTCGTTGCGCTCGCTAATCATAGAGGTACATAAACCGCCTATTAATTAATATGGTGGATGATGTACCTAGGACATTCCCCTCGACAGGGTGTTAACCTTTATAATTACCTCCCCTCCCCGCTCTTCCTCTCTCAACTTTTTCCCTCTACAACGTTCATTCTACAATCCTCAAACCGTCATAATGGCTCCCAAGGTTGCAATCGTCTATGTATGTCTTCCAATGGCGATGCATTCCTCTCCCGTCTCACTAACTTTCCGATCAGTACTCCATGTACGGCCACATCCAGGCCCTGGCCGAGGCTGAGAAGAAGGGCATCGAGTCCGCTGGTGGTCAAGCCGAGATCTTCCAGTCAGTCATGCTATCATTGTTACCCCTCGAGTCAGTTGATTAACAATTGAATCTCTAGGATCGCTGAGACCCTCAACGAGGAAGTTTTGGCCAAGATGCATGCTCCTACCAAGGCTAGCTATCCCATTGTTGAGCCCTCTGACCTCCTCGCCTTCGACGCTGTTCTGTTCGGTATCCCTACCCGTTACGGTAACTTCCCGGCTCAGTGGAAGACCTTCTGGGACAAGACCGGTGGCATTTGGGCCACTGGTGGCTTCTGGGGCAAGTACGCCGGTCTCTTCGTGTCGACCGGTACTCAGGGTGGTGGTCAAGAGTCGACTGCCCTTGCCTCGATGAGCACTCTCGCTCACCACGGCTTCATCTACGTTCCTCTGGGCTACAAGACCGTATTTGCCCAGCTGAGCAACTTGGACGAGGTTCACGGCGGTAGCGCCTGGGGTGCTGGTACCTTCGCTGTAAGTTATAACGACACTCTCCGATGCATTTCTCTTACTGACCATCCCGTCTACAGGCTGCCGACGGTTCCCGTAAGCCCTCCGCGCTTGAGCTCGAGATTGCCACCGCTCAGGGAAAGGCCTTCTACGAGACTGTTTCTAAGGTCCAGTGAATGCATGGCAGTACCGAGTCGAAGCCGGAGAGCTCGACTCCTGTTGCTGGGGAGGCCGCTCCAAAGACCGAGCAGCCTTTCAAGGGTACTCAGGAGCCAGTCAAGAAGAAGAAGAGCAATGAGGGGCCATGCGGTTTGCCTAAGAACTGTACAATTCTTTGATTGGGCCCATGTTTCTTCTTGCGTTCTCTAATTCTAGACTGTTCTCACTGGGGCGTTCCTTAAGCGTTTCGAATTCTTATGATGATACGGACATACCATTCTCATTTTCAACAGCCAATTATTTCTAGCCCAATAGAAGAAATATATGGAAGAAGATTTGTCAATTACTTTTGCAAAAGCCTATAGTAACGTAGATGCTCAACTTCATATATCCACGTATAGTTACATTCCATGATTAGTACTTTCAGGGCACATTTCTGCCTCCTACAGTCATTTGCTCACATTTTCCAAATTTGCCTCTGGCACCGATGCTACAAGAGGCAGTTCTGTATTATCACTTCTATTTGAAAGTATTTATAAGTACTATCCAGGTTCTGGCTCTCTATTTTAAGGCTCTGTATCCGTGGTAACGAATTTACCGACGCCTCCCCCAAAACTCCAAAGCCGACCGCGGGGTGTTCTGTCAGCCACCGCCCGCCAGTTGTGACGTGACCAAGGAAGCTTTAAGTCGAGCTTCTCTTCTCACTTGCATGTGCCTTCTTTGTCTTCGAATACTTCTTCCACTTGTGTTCCTTGAAAGGTGAAGCCACTACCTCTCAATCCTCATCCTCAACCGTGCTATGATTTTGCCTAGGATGGCCTCCATTCTTCTCCGATTTGAGAGTCGAAACGGACAATTTCGACTCACGGTCAGCCCGCAGGAACTCTTCCCGTCACTTCAGAAAAAGGTATTTATCGGCTCTTAGTTGGAAGGGAACGATAGCAGGATGAGAGCCAAAATCTAATCTGGCAATCGGCATTAGATTCTAGAACACCTCCCGGAAAACGTCGAAGCTTCGTCCATTGCCCTCTCGAATAAACCGATCGGCACAGGTGGTGAGGAAAGACTACTGGAAGACCTACGAGGGGTTTCGCTTCAGCAGGTTGGCCTCAAGTAAGTGTTGAATTTCATATTTACATCTACATGTTGAATTACTCACGCGCCGCTGAATTGAAGGCATGGCGATAAGCTCTTTATTGGGTACCAGGAACAGGCACAGCAGGATAGAGCCTCGAACGGCAACACATCTACCACCACAGAACACCGACTCAATGGAGCTCCGATCCCCAAGCAACAGACGGTCCCGATCCGTCAACAACCAAGTTCTTCCGCTCCAGTCAAGAACCCGTGGGAGCTAGTGCAGCAGTCACCGCTGGACGATCTGCTAGACAAAAAAGATGGAAAGATCAAGCGTGGAATGGACTACAAGATGTGCAGACACGGTCCCCGAGGCATGTGTGATTACTGCATGCCACTCGAGCCTTACGATGCGAACAACATGAAAGAGAAGAAAATCAAGCACCTCTCTTTCCACTCATACCTGCGGAAAATCAATGCCGCGACTAACAAGCCCGAAATGGGAACCTCGTTCATGCCTCCACTCAACGAACCATATTACCGAGTGCGAAGCGACTGCCCATCGGGGCATCCGCCTTGGCCGGAGGGAATTTGCACCAAATGTCAACCAAGCGCAATCAGTCTGCAACCCCAGGAATTCCGTATGGTAGACCATGTGGAGTTCTCATCCCCTGATTTAATCAATTCCCTCCTTGATTTCTGGCGAAAGTCAGGCGCTCAACGATTGGGCTTCTTGTACGGTACATACGAGGAATACACCGAAGTACCACTAGGTGTCAAGGCTGTCGTGGAAGCAATCTACGAGCCCCCGCAGACGGGCGAAATCGATGGCGTAACACTCCATGACTGGCACAACGAAAATGAAGTGGACGAGGTAGCTCGTCTCTGCGGATTGCAGAAGGTTGGTGTCATCTTTACTGACTTGATTGATGGCGGGCTTGGGGATGGCTCAGTGGTTTGTAAGCGGCACATTGATTCATACTTCTTGTCTTCACTCGAAATTGCGTTCGCTGCACGACTCCAGGCACAAAATCCTAAGTCAACGAGATGGAGCCGGACAGGACAGTTCGGCTCGGATTTTGTAACGTGTGTGCTCAGTGGAGATGAGACAGGTGCGATTGCTATCAGCTCGTACCAAGCATCCGTGTCTGCAGTTGAGATGGTTCGAGGAGATATCGTCGAACCCTCAGCAGACCCGACCGTAATGCTGGTGCAATCAGAACATGACGAAGATCTCGGAAGCAGGACACGATACATCCCCGAAGTTTTCTACCGACGAATTAATGAGTACGGTGCAAGCGTACAGGAGAGCGCTGAGCCGAGTTTCCCAGTCGATTTCCTACTAGTCACCCTCACCCACGGATTCCCAACAGAGCCATCCCCATTATTCACCAACAGTCGCTTCCCTATCGAGAATCGGGAAGTCATCGGCGAGAGCCAAGATCTTCGACACGTTGCCCAGCAACTCATGTCCCACGGTGATCCAGATAAAGCTATTCAAGGCGTTTCCGACTTCCACCTCCTGTGCTTCTTGCATGGAGTAGGCACATTTAGCAAGGTCGGTGTTCTATTGTGCATATTTCAATCTAGTGTACGTGACGCTAACTCGCATTCTCGAACAGGATGAGGAATCACTCCTCTGCCGAGTCGCCAGAACGAAGTCCCCCGCCGAGGGCATGCAACTTGTGAATACCCCAGGATGGGCCACGTTGATGACAATTCTTCAAGAGAGTGGTGAGCGCCCCCCAAGCGCCCCTGGCCCACACCGGCCGAGCCTTCTCGTCCGGATTCCCAAACCCGGAAACGCCGCAACCCCCCACCCTCCACCCTACCCCGGTCCATATCTCCCAGTCCCGAGAGTGACCAGCTTGCTAAGAGGTTTAAGGGAGCTAGTTTAGAGTGATCGGTTTCGTCTTCCCGCCGTTCGGTTTTCATCGCACTCCCCCTAGACCCTTCGGCCCGGCTTTTCCCACCGCGTTGCCTTAAAAGTTACGAGGAGGCCATTCATCGCCGTTTCCCGAGATATTTTCGATTCCTGGACCCGAAATGGAGATTTGATGCGAGAATGGAAGTTTTGGATCCGTCGGCTAGTTATAGCAGGCCAACGCTCTGCCCGAAGCACTGCATTTATTACGAATATACCTCAAATCCAGTTGGCATCCTACAGCCCTCCAGGAAGTGTGCTGAAATTAGATGATTCACCGATGCTCTC